GTGCAGCCCTATTTTACATCTTATGGGCTTTTACTTGCCATCTCCTCTGGCTTGCTCGCTAGGGGCATTATAAAGCACCATTCTTTGTTAAGCTGCTTTTGAACAATGTGTCTACAAATATCTGTCATATTATGATCACTGACTACTTAGCAGACTTCATAAACTGATGTCTTCATGATATTAACCAAATAAGTAAGCAGTAACAATAATGAGAGAGAAGTAAAAACTAGCCCACTGCTTTGTATTTTAACAGAATTAATAAACAACTAAAGAACAACAGAACACTATTTATTGGTTTTCAAAAACTCTGAGTATGATAATTTACCTGATATGCAAGCTTGTCCTCATCATTATTCACATAAATAGCCCAGATTAGTGACCAACATATAACCACATGATACCTCTTACAACTGCTGTAAAGCTTTATACCTGCTCAAAGTCTCATGGCAGATGTAATAATAAACTATAAAAAGTTTCCCTGAATAAATAGAAATTATACTGATGAATCAACAAACTGATGTAAAAGACTACATTTCCATCAAGTCATGTTATTTAAATATATAGGCTACAATTTATGTTCCCTAATATCCTACTACAAAGGTCTAACAGATGTCAAGTGTGACATCAGTGCCTGTATGTTGCATCAATTAAAGGGATAGTTCGCCCTCAACGAAAATTGTCACCATTTACCCCTCCCTGTTCCAAACTTGCATGACTATGCTGAACACAAAGTAAGATATTTTGATCAAATGTTTTAGTGTTTTTATATACAATGAAACACAATGAGGTCCAATGTTGTTTGGGCACCAATGTTCTTCCAAATATCTTTTTGTGTTCAACAGATTTGGAATAACAGTAACGTTAGTAAACAACAACAGAATTTTCCTTTCTGGGTGAACTATCCTTTTAAGAGGTAGAAACAAAAAATAAATGCATTTCCTCAAAAAAAAAAAAAAAAAAAAACACCTCCGTGGCTCCACCTCTTGCAAGGGTGTTGGTTTTAATGTGTAATACTCAAATAAAAGACAGCACACTACTCTGGCATTCACACTGACATCCTCCTAGAGAATCGAACGGACGGAGAGAGCAATCATAGAAAAGGGTAAATATGACTATTTTATACTTTTATATAAAAGTATAGAATTAAAAAATTATTAGTGCTGTCAATCGATTAATGCACTTTTTTCTTAAATTAATCATGATTAATCCCACCTAACAAAGTTTTTAAATATACTTATATTTACTTATAATATACTTATAACTTTACATTCAATCTTCAAATTAATGTACAAACAACTAAGACAGTATATTTTTAATGGCATCTTTTTTATGACTGAAGGCCAGTATCACTGATACCAATACTACTGATGTCTCTATAAAACTGTTTTCCCCCTAATATTTAAGCATTGATTATAGCCATTCAACATTATTGTATAATTGAGAGATATCAATTTTAACATTTATTAGACTTTAAAAAATAACTTCTAATTTAAGTGAACTCAAAACAATCTTCACATAAACTCATTATAATTAATGTCATATTTACCTGTGCCCTTCAGCAGAAATACACAGAAAGTAAAATTGAAGTTATCAAACACTAAATTCAAAAATGAAATGTAGATGAATCCTTAAAGCTATAAAAGTTATTGATTTCCTCCTTTTTCTTTTCTATGATTAATAGACATCACAGTAGCTAGTTATTAGGTTGTTTTGGCTTCTATTTCTTTAAGAGCTGCTGCTGCTGCTGAATGTGACGCGGATCTGACACGCATAGTATTTTCTCTCAAATCTCTCTACCTTTTCTGACTCACTTCAGGTCTTAAAGTCTCTACCAATAAACTGACGAGTTCAATCGAGGGAGTTAGATGAGGGAGACAGTGATGGGCTACTCCAGGACAGTTTTGAAAACCATTTCAGAGGCATGTTCTTAAATGCAACTCATATATAATATATTACATGCATGCACAGATTTAAGGCAGCTTTAATCACCGTTTTGGTAACTTAATTAGTGGTCGACCGATATATCGGCCGATATTTGGCAATTTTCATCGGCATCGGCATTGGCCGATAAGTTTTTCTGTTTGGCCGATGCGTTCATGGTGGGACTTTTATTTTGACGGCGCACCAGACTTTTATTTTGACAGCGCTGACAGCGGCAGCGCCTGAACACACAGTGCTCACATTCTCCCTCTTGTTCGCTGTCGTCGTTAACTGTTCTGGCCATGGACAGAAGTCTGTCTATTTTTTTTATCAATTTTCAAATGATTTCAAATTTCTTAAATATTAAATAACATTATATTGGCTTTATATCGGCCACCCTGCTTTCCAAGATATCGGCATCGGCTGTCAAAAAACCAATATCGGTCGACCACTAAACTTCATGACTTATCTGACCACGACATTGCATGCACGTAGTTTTATTCAGCTTTGATATGAAAAGATACAGGGTACAGCGTGCGCTGATGCCTTTGTGTGTGCAATTGAAGAGCACGCATTACAAACACAGTGCCGTTTCCGCACTTGTTTGACTCACGCCTGGCGCTGAAGTGAAGTTGGAGCGTGTCTGAAACTTCTCCCGTTTGATGTGGCCCTAAAGACGTTCCTCGACTGAATAAATGCACTTCTTGCCAAGAAAAAAATAAGAGACCTAAGCAGCAGTTGTGAGGGGGGTGGCCAACCCTAGCTCTGCCCCTGCGTTAATTGCATTAAATATTTTTTATGTGTTAAACTGAAAAAATTAATCGCATGCGTTAACGCACTAATTTTGACAGCACTAAAAATTATACAGTTTTTATGTAACTTGAATACAAGTTAATATTGTCATGCTGATAGTTTCAAAATGTAGAATAATATTGGTTTATTTGGGATGTGTCATATGACTTAAAAAAAACATTTACAAATTAAAAGGAAGTGGACCATTATAATTTTATATTTATTGTTTGCTGAACAGTGAAAGGCGAGTATGGCTTCCAAAACTCAAATCCTACTATTACTAGTAGCTGTAATAATTACAAATATCAGCACATCAGTCACCACGAGCACACCAAGCACCACTAGCCTGCCAGGCAACACAAGCACGTCAGGCACCACTGGCGCACCAAACATCACGGGCACACCAAGCATCACGGGCACACCAAGCAACACGAGCACACCAGGCAACACGGGCACACCAGGCAACACGGGCACACCAGGCACCACGGGCACACCAAGCAACACGGGCACACCAAGCACCACCGGCAACTCAAGCAGGCACACCAGGCAACACGGGCACACCAGGCAACACGGGCACACCAGGCAACACGGGCACACCAGGCAACACGGGCACACCAGGCAACACGGGCACACCAGGCAACACGGGCACACCAGGCAACACGGGCACACCAGGCAACGCGGGCACACCAGGCAACGCGGGCACACCAAGCAACGCGAGCACACCAGGCAACGCGAGCACACCAGGCAACACGAGCACACCAAGCAACACGGGCACACCAAGCAACACGGGCACACCAGGCAACACGGGCACACCAGGCACCACAGATATGTCAAGCATCACCACCACATCAACCACCACCGGCAAATCGAGCACCAGCACAACCACCACCACCGGAAAATCAAGCACCACCACAAAAACCACTGCTTCTGTTGCAGCATCTCTTTTACCAATGGGACTGCCTGGACTTCTGTTCTACACTACTATGGTTCTCAAAATCTTTCAGCTGATCTGATTATCATCTCATTTAGTTTGTAACTAAAACCTACAGGGACAGGGCCCTTCACAAGTTGCTAGCACTTTAATGTCAGACTGTCAGATTAATGATAATGTTCTGATAAATACCTGATTGCTTTACAAATCTAGAAAATATGAACTTCAAATGAAGAATAAAGATGAAAAACCTTTGTTGACTTTGCCAACATTGCTAAACCACATTACACATGCATGAGAGTTAAGGATGAGTGTTTGCACATATTTATCAAAAAGTGTATGTATTTGTCATTTATGTTAAATATGACGTACTACTAGGCATGGGCCGGTATGAGATTTTGACGGTGTGATAACCTTAAGCAAAAATATTACGGTTTCACGGTATCACGGTATTGTTGTTACAGCTCTAAAATGTGTTATTTTTAAATGACTGGGTAAAAATAAAATAAAAATTCCGCTGAACACAATATATTTTGTTTTTGAGCAACACAGAATATATTAGGAACAGTAGAATTTGTTTATTTTTTCTTTGATTTGTTTCCTAAAAAGAAGAAAAGTAAAGACTGACATCTTTATTTAACCTAAATCTGTAATTACAGTTATTTAATTTTAGTTATACAATTCATATACATATCATTTATGTCATTTCATATCATTTAGTTATATAATTTTATATACATAATATGATTATTATAACTATACAGAGACAAGATTAAAAGAAAATACCACGTAAACTTTTCTGAAGACAGTCAGTTCCCCTCAGAAACACATTCATATAAATCAATCTTCATATTTTCACATAAATTACATTTTGGAAAACGATTGCATTGTAACGCAGTTTGTGTAAATCCAGAACAGAGACGAGTTGCTTGCAATAAGACAAAAAACGGCCGGTTGCCGATCTCGTGAGTTCCAGGGGCAGCTCCTTAATTTCGGCCGTCCTACACACATGTGACTGACCGCTCGCTCGCACCAACAGGAGGAGGAGGGGTCGTGTTACTCTCTACACTGCACTCAACCTGAGGGATTCCTACACTTTCAGTCTTTGAGGAGACATGAAAAACCGTGCATACCGCAGGAACGGTATAACGTAAAATATTAGCGGTTTTGAAACCGTGACATTTTCCAAATCGCGTATACCTTGAAACCGGTAATTGGCCCATGCCTACGTACTACTGTACAAACCTGCACATCAATAAAACAATATTCTGCAGTTATTCTGTGCATTTATGCAAATATTCCTAAAAACTGCCCTGAGTTATACCGATATATCATGATTCAAAACTAAAGCTCCTACCTGCGAGCAATGTAATAAAAGACAGGATTGCCATTCTTTGACGTGCCAGCTTGGTAAAAGATGTTGAGCGTCTTTAAAGCTTTAAACTCCTCCTTCTCATGGACTTGATGCCTTAAAAAAAAAAGCAGAATATAAATTAGGTCTGCTGATTTAATAAAAAAAAAAATATATATATATTTTACTATTACTATTTCTTAGTTAAATCTGAAGAGAATATAAAAAAGCAAGAACAGTGACCTTGTCATAAATTCCTCAAACTTTGAGCTGGAGAGGTTGAGGCTGGACCAGTGTGTGTCAGCTACTGGCTTATGTTCAGGGGGGCCCAGGTAGGCCAGGAGGGTGGCCATCTTGTCAAATGGTCTGCGGCCCACTGCCTTGTGGTCCCTATGGTACAAGTTTAATTAAAATATTTGTTAAAATCATGTCTATATATTCTGAAAACACTAGTAGAGACCATTGGTGTCAATAGTCAATTTAGTCTCACAATGCTTTTGAAACACTACCCTGACCTCCTTTGCTACATTTACCTGTTGCTGGACAAGTACTGGCCAATTCTTTCTTGGTTGTTCCATAACAGACGATGCAGGGCGAGCACATTGCAGTCACTGATGAAAGATAGACTGTGATTCACAGTGTCACTTGGTGGAGAATCAGATGCAATATCAAAGAAGAACCTGCCAAAATAAAAATAAGGCATTTTGAAGCCCATGGAGGAGCTGATGGGTTTAAAACATTGTGTTTCAAGACCCAATAAAATCACAACTGTCTTGTGTCAACTGTCTTGGGTTGTAGTCCATATCTTCAAGTTTTAAGGACACAAATATACTTGCATATCCCTAAAACATGGGCGAAGTTACACATATACTCATTTAAAACTTCAGGGTTAAATAATACTGTAAATAAAATATTTAGCACACATTTTATTCAATCAAGTGCTCTCTGAAAATTCACTTACAACACGCCTCTAACTGGCAACTGAAAGTAGCATTATAATGTTTCAATAATGTGACACAATTTGAAGCAAGTGTCAAGTATATCGTTCAAAAGGCCTTTTTCTTGCCTTCAGCTGATCCATCAAAAATCTCCACTTGAGAAACAAAAGATCTAATATGTGAGAATCAAACAAATACAAACATACCTTCTGGCTGCATCAAAGTTGCTTTTGACAAAATCATTAAAGGGCCGCATATGCTCTTCTTTTGTGAACAGTACATGATTAGCAATGCTCTGGAGTATCTGAAAAGAGAAGAAACATTGTAGAAATTCAAATTTTGCTATATATAATTTTGCAGTGGGGCCCAGTGTTGTGGTATAAATAAACATTTAATCTTGCCAGTTAGACAAAACACTTCACCACAGATGATGGAAATGAAAGCTATGTATAATATGTATGAACATGACATTACACACCTTAGACATGAGTTTGAGGCCACGCTCGATGCGAGGTGGAGGTTTCTTGTCTAGGATGCCTGCCTCATACGGTGATACAATAGCTGGGTTAATAAAGCGCAAGAACATGGCACTTCCTACTGCACCGATACTGTTCTGTGGAAACCGCTGGCTGACCACCTGCATAAACGGATGAGGGAAATGAGAGGAAAGACAGTTAAGTGCTAGAAGAATGCATTATAGATAAACCATCTAATTACTGCCAGTATATTATTGCCATCATGATGATTTTAATTTGAAAACAACAAAACACAGAATACTAATATACATTTTTATAGGTTTAACATCCAGGAATATTATGAAGAAAGAAAATATATGAAAGTGTGACAGAAAAGAAAGTTAAAGGGGTCATATGATGTGATTTCAATTTTTCCTTTCTCTTTGGAGTGTTACCGCCGGCCTCCACTCACTCAAGCCCGCCGCGTGTGACGCTGTGTGTTTCGTTGTGAAAGCAAAACTACTTTGTTTGGCGTATAAGTCATTATAATCAGTAATTATGTCCCCACTGGATGCAACAAATGCCTCGTTTATAAGGGTTTTTCATGTTTTTGTCTCGTCGCTCCGGCCGAACAGGGCATCACAATAAGGTAGGGGCATAACATTTCCGTCACACGCTTGAGGTATTCGGCCAATCACAACGCACTGGATAGCTGGCCAATCAGAGCACATCTCGCTTTTCAGACCGATGAGCTTTGTAAAAATCGATGCGTTTCAGAAAGGCGGGGCATAGAGGAGAAACAATAATGTACAGTATGTGGAAAATAATGTTTTTTTAACCTTAAACTGCATAAACACATTTCATTACACCAAATACACAAAATAATGTTCTTTTTAGCATCATCATATGACCCCTTTTACTGATAAATGTGTTTTGTATGGAAGCCCGTTTCTGCCACGGAATAAAAATAAAAAAGGTTATTGCGACTTTTTATCTCACCATTCTGACTTTTTTTTCACAGAATTGCGAGATATAAACTCACAATTCTGACTTTTTCTCAGAATTGCGTGATATAAACACAATTGCGAGATAAAAACTCGCAATTCGGACTTTTTTTCTCACAATTCTGACTTTTTTTCTCGGAATTGCAGAATTCTGACTTTATAACACGCAAATGCAATTTATAAACTCGCAATTCTGAGAAAAAAAGTCAATTGTGAGTTTATATCTCGCAGTTCTCACTTTATTTCTCAAAATTGTGACTTAATGTCTCGCAATTGCGAGTTTATATCACGCAATTCTGACTTTATTTCTCAGAATAGCGAGTTTATATCTCACAATTATGACTTAACTCTGAAATTGCGAGTTTGTATCACGCAATTATGAGAAAAAAGTCAGAATTGTGAGATAAAAAGTCGCAATTACCTTTTTTATTTTTTATTCAGTGGCGGAAACGGGCTTCCATAGTTTTGTGTCAGGTAAAACAGGCTCAATTAGAAAGAAAACAGGGCTATGATACATTAAAAACTATGCAGTGTTTGCACAGAACAAACTAATGATGACGGCAGACTTGTATGATAGCAAAGATGCAAATTAATGCTGCCTAACGATTATCAACCATTAAAATACAACAAATATACATACCACACTTAAGCACAAAACAGTCTGTTACTAGCCACAATAAATATTTGCAGAACAATGTGTGGCAGTGCATATACACCCTAAAAATATTATTCATGGAAATTTGGGGTTACAATTTCCCCACACCTATAATAACTGATAATTTGTGTCCTAAATTCTTTGTAGGGGACTAAACTGTTTCCGTCTCAAGTGGCTAAGTCAATCTAATTGGACTGAGACTTAAAATAGGCTATGAGAAGTCTCAGCTTATGAAAACATTTTTTAAGCCTACCGCTGATGAGAGCCAAAGATCCACTTTTGCATAAACTTGCATTAAAATAAAAAAAATATTAATCTTGGTAATTAACTAATTCTTTGTGTATCATCTGTTTACATGCACCAATTTTACATGTAACAATTTCAAAATCTCATGTAAACACATTTACTTTTGTTTTTATATATTTTGATAGTTGCCAGTGTTTTAATATGTAAACACATATTAATCAATCAAAAAGATGATAAAAATGCACCATGCTTATAACATTATGATCATGTTGCAATGGTCCTAGCAAATGGCAAGAGAAATGAAATGAGAAAAGAAAAACAAAAGACAGAAAATTAAGAGTGGGAATAATCAGACATTTTACACCATTACATACATTATCAAGCATGCATATGCACCAATGGTTTCTGAAACTGAAAAAATGCACAACCATTGTTTTGAAGACGACCCAAAGAGCACATGACAAGCCAGAGAAGTGCCAACATGTTCATTTTCCATCATATTTACAGCATGCAAATCACTTCATTAAAAGTTTTCCAAGAAAGACAAGACTCTTCAAGGAGCCAAAATACAGATTCATAACATTTTCTAATTTAAACTTAGAAGTGTTTATACATTCTCAGAAGGTAGACCAAGTCAGTACCAGGCTCAATGTCTGCACATTTGAGGATACACTGTCTTCATGTTATAACAGACCTTAAACCCACGCAAAGAAACAGAAAAGCTGAACTGATCAAAACTGCTCGCTACCACTGACTCAGTACACAAGATGAAATTCAAAGAAAAAGAAGGGTGATCCAAAGCAGTACAATTATTTTGTTTGTTTAGATACTCATTTCCCAAAATGTTGTGTTTAAAATGGAGGCGTCTTCATAAGAAAACTGTACATATTGCAAACATCAGTTTACACAGGTGTTTCTGAACATGTTCTGGCGAAAACCAAAATCCAAAAACATGAAAAAAAATTAAATGAACAAATTCATAATTTAAAAAAAAATCAATAAAACAAACCAAAAAACAGGTTGCACTTATGGTGTGAGTAAACCCAAACTAATAATAAATGGTAACTAAAGGAAAAATAAAATGCTAAAACACTTACAGATTTTTTGTTTTCCTTTTTTTCTTTAACAGTGGCTTTATTCAGAAGGGAGTGGCAAGTAGCCTACAGGGCAGAGATGAGCACAGAGAGGTCACAGCAGCTACACAACTGCACTCAGCACAGCCACAGTGCATACAAACAATGAAGTAGGAGACAACACAACCACTGCCTTTCTAAGAGCTGATCTACGAACAATTTCATTCATGTTCATTTCAGTGATTAAGAAACACCGGCTGAAGCTCTCCAAGCAGAAAGTAAAGCAAAAGCAGTAAAGATGCTACAGTGGAGGAGAGAGACAGCTCTAGGCCCAAGCAAACAAAGTGTGAATAATATGTTAAGAGTGTAAAGATAAGTTAACGCTAGCTGCAGGAAATTAAAGACCAGAATATGTGTGTCGCATGTATGAGAACACAAGTGGGCCATGCAGAAGAGAGCAGGACTTGTGTAGCAGGACTGATGGTTGCAACTGATTTGATAGGATGAGTTATCAATTTTTTTCAGTCTGTTTCCCCAGAAATGAAAGACTTTGTCTTAAATGTATGTATCTACTAAATGGAAACTTTTAAAGTCGGCATGAAATCAAAAATGACAATTCTTAGTTTTGGATGGAATACTGTAGTGTTTATTATAAATAATTTATCCGTGCACTTTATTATTTTTTTTAAATTCATGTGCCCTCTTAATTTTTAATCAAAACCGTTAACCTCCCCTCCTCCTCAAAACGACTCCTCTACTCTTCCGGTCACGAGCTATGGCGCAAGGGCGGAGCTATCTGGAACTGCCAGCAGCTGCAGTGACATCAGTGACGTTTGGGGGGAAAAGCTGAAGCTGATGCTTCACTTTATAGCACTGACACCAGTCATGAGGGAGTACGTTACCCTTAAATATTGAAAAGATATTAGGATCTTACGACAACATTACTCTTTCTTAGAACATCGCAAACTATTATTATTATTTTTTCATGAATATGACTTAACCTGATGGAGGACGCGCTCAGTCATTCAGGCAGTCTCTCTCTCACGCTGTTTAGGCATGTTTTGTGCCATCATCCTCGATAAAAAAAAACATTTATTCATGCTAGGGTGTCGGCGGTGAATCCAGTGGAGAGAAATCCCCCATCACTAACTGCAAACTGGCATTCAGATCTCCCTCCATTTTGTTGGCAACGCCCCAGCTTCCAACAATCCAATCAATTCCCGAAGGATGAAATCAAGTCCCACCCTCTCATTTCAGATGCCATTTCACTTGGATATACGTCACAGCAGAGAAGAAAAGACAATCGTAACTTCCGTTTCATGCCGACTTTAAGAGTCCAATAGCATAGCAATGACCTCAAAGCTAACTATGTGCCACAAAACTATCATTTAAATTTTTATGGGACTTAACAAGCCAACCATCACAACCCGATCATCGTGATTACAAACAAGACAAGAAAGGCCATGAAAGGAAACGACAAGCAAGAAAACAAAACTACATGTAAATAAGAAAGAGGAAAAGAAAAGGTGTTTTTTCATTCGAAGAATTATTTTCGATGCTTAAAAAAACAACTTTATGCATCACCGTCCATAAGATGGTGCCCTTGACAGAGTGCAGTCACATCAGAGATGTGAGAAAAACAGTTGGTACCTTCAAATGAAAACTTTGTACTTTTGTTTCAGTAAAAAGACAACTCCATAAACACCCCCTTCTATTTCTTTCTATGAAAAATAACAAATGGTTTTTGTACGCACAAATGGAAGTGATTTCAACTGCGATTTCAACCCCGTATGTGCTATAAATATGGATTATTGGATATTATGATTCATACCTGCTTGTGACATATAACAATACAGCTTCAAGCACTATCAAAATGTTTCCTTACCAAACTGAATCTGTAATGTCTGTTGTTGCATGTAAAGCAGCAAATGATTTAGCAGATCTTCTTTGCCATTTGTAATCATTTTCCGATACATTAAACTTTAACGGGGATACCGGAAGTATGAAGGATTGTATCAGCCTGATATGAAAATCATCTTATCATCACTCCTTATTTAAATCCCTTAAAAAATGATTTAATTCTAGTCAGTATTAAGAACAAGTTGTAGTATGATTTAACTGAAAATGTTTGCACTTTGAATGCCACAATCCCATTTTGCCATTCAAACACAAGAAATTCTATGACAACAGTAGCATTTCAAATATTCTTACATATCCCTTTTTCGAACATTATAATAACAACATAATAATAACAACATAAAAATAACACATAATAACCCTATTGGAAACCAGTTATGGGATGTAGATTACCGTTTAAACATGTGGGGTCAGTAAGAACTTTGTTTCTATTTAACAGGGATGCATAAAATTGATCAAAAGCAATAAAGACTTTCACACTGTTATAAAAGATTTCTATTTCAAATAAACGCTGTTCAATCCTGAAAAAAATGTTTGATGGTTTCTACAAAAATATTAAGCAGGACAACACAGATATTAAGAGCACCAAATCAACATGCTTAAATGATTTCTGAAGGATCATGTGACAGTGAAAACTGGAGTATTTCTGAAAATTCAGCTTTGCCATCACAGGAACAAATTACATTTTTAAATATATTAAAATATTAAACTGTAAAAAAAAATATTTCACAATATTATTGTTTTTACTGTATTTTTGGTCAAAGAGGCTTCTTTCATCAAAACATCCCAAAAAAAAATGATGCCAACCCCAGACTTTTGAATGTATCTCAAGTGTGCATCCGAAGGAAATGGGGGCATTTAAACCGTCTGATATATTCGTACACAGACAGACAGAGGTGAGCAGCGGCATGAGACAGGATAAGAGCAGGTTCTCTTGTTAGAAGTGACTGGAAGACTGATCAGTGGATATTCAAGCAAGACAGCCACAATGCAGTCATTCAGAGGATGCAGTAACAGTGGTTAAAAAAAACAAAAACAGACTAGCATTAGGCAGTGAGCGTACCTGATACAGACAGTGGCACACACTGCGCAGCTGTGGAGGGAACTCGTTTGAAGAGTTGATAATTGCCAGGAAGAAGCGGTCTGTGATCTGCAGCAGGTTCTTCTGGTTCTCCTCCAGGTTCTCCACTGGTTCGAGCCTAAACAGGAGATGAGAAGTTAAACGTTTCAGCAGAATGACAATGATAAAAAACCATCTGTACTTTGAGGAGTGTTTAAATGTACATCATGAAGAACTCCTTTAAAGGTGACCTATTATATCAATATAAGTCTCAGGTGTCCCCAGAATGTGTCTGTGAAGTTTCAGCTCAAAATATCCCACAGATCATTTATTAAATCATTTTAAAAATGCCTAATTTGAGTGGAAGCAGAAACACGCTGTTTTCATGCACGTACCTCAGATATTCTGCCAAAAAACATCTGTTTGGTTTTGATTCTGTCTATCGCACTGAAATCATGCGTTTTAAACCATATTAGTTTAAACTTCTCATATATGGTTTTTTGAGCGCACACATCTGAAGTACGCACACAGAAAGCGACTGCCACATGGCATGTGAGTACTAAACTCAGTTCTCTTTCATCTATTATTGCGCTTAAACGGTCAAATACAAACAAGTTTACAAAAACAGTCGGGTATGTCTGTGAAGTTAAACAGTTGGGAAAGAAATTGCATGTTTATATTAGATCTGTGTTGCAGCAGTGTAATATAAAGTAAATAAATCAATAAATCCACTGCTCTCTTGTCTCCTCTGAGGCTGGGACTCTAAATAGTGTTCTGTGCTGTTCTGAAGTAAAAGCTAGACCTGACTAAACATCATTAACAATACGAGTTTTACAGCTAGGTAAACATGCCTGGTAGGGTCTACTTCAAAACTGATTTGCTGCCACTCCGGTGTGGTAATAATTCCTCTCAACAGTGGCTCCAGAAGCTTCTGCAGATATGCAGCACCATAGACCTGCAAACACAGAAAAGCCCGATTTTAAGTGCACATACACTACTGTTCAAAAGTTTGGGGCTAGCTTCGCCATCACTGAATGAAATTAAATGTGCTATCACTGACACCATTTCACGTTACCTTAAAGCAAAAGGTCATAATCTTGCTGGCAAGGCTGTTTCCTCTGAAGAGGGTCTGCATAGAGTCGGCCAGCTCCACCTCTTTAGAGAACATGTTCCATAGCAGCTGATATAGCAGATGGCGAGAGTCGAACAGTGTCACCAACACCCTGGCCAGTTCATCCTGAAAACCATCAGAACATTGAGCACAACAGCTCTCTAATGGCCAACAATACACACCCAATGCATTACTCGCTGTACAAAACAGAGTTAAATAGATAGCGCATTTTAAAGAATGCTGGGAACCAAACAACATTACTCATGGTCCAGTCATACAGTTTTGGAACAAAATGAGGTTGATTAAATGACAAAATCTTAATTTTGGGGTAAACTATAACTTTAAGGCCCGTTCATAATGACATATGAAGAAACTGTAACATGAAATAACTATTTTCTGCATCAAAAACAATTCACATGAAATTTTTATTATTGTGTTACAAATATTTTAATATTTTTGTATTAATTGTTTAGTACCTAAATCTAGCTTCTGTGTAAGAAGAAAAAAAAGATTATGAATATGAAAGTTTGCTTTAAAACCTTTTCATACATGTTTTTTTAAATAGATGTTGGCTCTATTTAATTCTTATTTTTTCGAAACTGTAAAGGTTAAACAAAGTTGTTCATATCTCTCACCCATTGAGAGCAGGGGACCACATTGGCCAGTGCCATGGCTATGGGCAGCTCGCCCTGGTCTCCCATCATGGTGACCAGCTCAACAAGTCTCTCAAAGCGGTCTGCAAGCACAGTCTCTGCGAGCGTGTCAAACTCTGTCCCTTGCTGAAGGATCTTAGTGAGCACCTCCATGAACGTAGCTCGTGTCTGCAGGTCCTTATGGTACCCCAGACCTGTTCAAAAACATCAACAGTCAAAACAACTTAAGTACAATAAGAATCCATGATAATGTCAGCATTTCTCACCAATGGAGTGCATGAGGCCGCTGTCGACGTTAGCATTGAGCAGGTTAGACATGGCCAGCACAGTACAGTGTCGGAGAGATGCCAGTCGTCTAGACATCCCACGTTTCCGCCCTGCCACCTGCTGGCCATCTTCCTCGACCTCGCTGCAGTCATTCAACAGGTTCATGAACAGCGTAAAGTATCTAAAGGAGAGAGAGAAGAGATTATGGACTGAAAATGGACCTTAAAAGACAAAACAAAAGAGTTGGATGAATGCTCCTACTTCAGGAAGAGCTGAGACTTGGCCTCCATGAGCTCAACGCCATCACCCTCCTCAGGCTGCAGGGGAAGACCAGCCAACAGAGACACTACTGCCTCCATACTCGCCTGGTCCAGATCCCTGCATGACACATTCACAAAAACACAGCATGAGAAAAGAATATAAAGTGAGAGTTTTCAGGTTTGAAGCCACTACACATATTATAAACGGCAGGAAGCTACAAAGACAATACCGGGTCAGACATTTGATGTCATCATCTGCTGCTTGATTAGAGGTTCCCATCACCCAGTCTGTGAGGTACTCCACCATTTTATTTCTAGGAAAAGCAGCAAAGTCAGTCATCTCACGACCTCACAATTCACAAACTCAATCATCATAACAAATTGACAATTTTGTTTGTTCAGCGTCAGTAAGATATTTTTTTAAAGAAAAGTATACTTTTATTCAGCGAGGACCCCTTCAATTAATCAAAAATGACATTAAAGACATTTAAACAGTTGCAAAAAGGTTTCTATTTCACAAATGCTGTTCTTTTGAATATATATATATATATATATATATAAGGCAGGGCTATTCAACTAGCTTCATTTGAGGGCCGGATTATCGCACTGAAAATTTGAAGGGGGCCAAGGGGATGGGGGCCATCCCGATCTCTTTCTGGAGGGCCTATAAAATTAGAAATTAAATTGAAATGCATATTCAGCAGTAAAATGAACTAATATTACCAATACTAAGATTCATAAAAGGTTAACAGAGTGCTGTCTGTCAATCAATTAACAAAATAATGAATTAATCACACATTTTTCTGTAATTGATCATGATTAATCGCATATTTATATTGTCATCATTTCACATTGAACCTCCAAATTAATGTAGAAACAACAAAGATGGTATATTTTAAATACGTGTTAAATGGCATCTTTTTACTAAGTAGCCTATTATTAATGAAGTATTGATACCAATACTGCTACTGGTGTCTCTATTAAACTAAATTAAATTAAATTCCCTCACTTTTACCTATCAATTATAGCCATTCAACATTACAGTATAATTGAAAGTCATTATTTTTAACATTTAATAGGCTCTGAAATATATAATTTTAATTTAAGTGATTTTAAAACAACCTTCACATAAACTATCAATTGTATATGCATAAACTATATTGGTTAATTTTTATTCAAGCTACAAAAGTTCAGCAACAATCAGCAACTAGAGCAGTTCTCTTTTTCTTTTGTTCTTTGATTTACGTCAATGACAGACTTCAGCAAGTTTCACTTTAAAAGCAGCGCTGTCTCTTTAAGACTTTGTAACCCAGTTAAGACTACGTTTACGAGGTAACTCGCCAAAACCACGCATTTTGTGTGTATTTACATAATAGTGTGTATTTTTGGCAGTCTGTCTGAAGCATCTCAGCGTATGTGTACAGCTGAACACGCAGCCTTTCAAACTATACGTTACTTCATTTGATCAATTTCGTCCGGTGTTTGTGCAATTTTTTTGCCAGAAGTTATGACCGATAACACTGTCTTTATACTCGATTAAAGGGGTCATATGATGCGATTTCAAGTTTTCCTTTCTCTTTGGAGTGTTACAAGCTGATTGTGCATAGATAAGAACCCTGAAGTTGCAAAGACTAAAGTCTCAAAACCAAAGAGATATTCTTTATCAAAGTTAAGACTCTGCCACGCCCCCCTAAAACGGCTCGTTCTAACAGTGTGCGCGCGAGCGAGCGAGCGAGAGAGAGCACGCTAGAGAGAGAGAGAGAGCGCGAGAGAGAGAGAGAGAGAGAGCGCGCGCGAGAGAGAGAGAGCGAGAGAGTGAGAGAGCACGAGAGCACGAGAGCGCGAGAGCGTGAGAGAGAGAGAGCGCGAGAGAGCGCGAGAGAGCGAGAGAGAGAGAGGGGGTCACATCACAGTGGAGTCAGCTGTCTTAACCGTGGACACATACCAGCTTCATCATTGTGTCTGTCACGTGACTGTTCCCCTTTTGGGCTTGAACTGATGGTAAAACTGACATTATTTACTGTCTTTACATTTATTTTGAAAGATGAAGCTCGCGATTATGGTAAGGGGCGTTACATTTCCGACGAGTGCTTGCGGTGTTCGGCCAATCACAATACACTGGGTCAGCTGGCCAATCAGAGCAGACTGCGCTTGTCGGAAGGAGGGACTTTGTAGAAAATGAAGCGTTTGAGAGAGGCGGGGCATAGAGGACCTACAATAATGTACAGTATTTGAAAAATAATGTGTTTTTTGAACATTAAAGCATGTCAACATATTCTGTTACACCAAATACACCAAATAATGATCTTTAAAAAAAGCATCATATGACCCCTTTAAACTAGAGTTGTGGATATCTCATAACTCCCTCATAAACGCTTGTCAACGCTGCAGTCTATTGCTGTTGCGGTCTCCATAGATTGTTGTTGTTGTTGTGTCTCTTTCTTTTCTTTTTCGTATAGTCTGGGCCAGTGTTGCCACCTTGTGGACAACAATTCAAGGCATATACGCGACCTGCATGTACTTCTACCTCAGGCCGGATAAAGATTGGCGGGCCGGATTTGCCTCCGGGCCGCCAGTTGAATAGCCCTGATTAGGGCTGGGCAAAAAATCGAATGCGATTTTCATGCGAATCTTGTCAGTAAAGCCGCTTCTGGTGATTAGTAGTAAATCTCCAGCACGTGCTTTCAGATGGAGCGGCATTTACTACACAGAGCCGTAGATCACTGACAAGCTACACAAGATCCCGTTCAAAATCGTAGGCGATTCATTGCCGATTTTGAACGCGATTTTGTGTAGCTTGTCAGCAGTGTTGGAATAGTTACTCAAAGAATGTAATATATTACTCATTACTAGTTACTCATTTCAAAAGTAATATTGTTGTTACTTTACTTATTACTTTCTCGCAACAGTAATTAGTTACACTACTAGTTACATTACTTTTTCTTCACGCCCCACAGAAGTTGTAACT